TTATGTAATCATGTATTCGAGTACGTTCAGTAGATCTTGTTGAATTTCAGTTGTATAATGTTGATATTCTTTTCAAAGGATTGACACCACTGGGACAACAATTGTTCCTCACTGGTTAAAGCTTTATACATTTTGATCGTACGCACACCAAGCAAACTTCGTTATTAATTAACTAATATTGGGTTTGAAATAACAAATTGCGTCGTTAAGTGAAGTAATGCAGATAGTAAAATTAATTACAACATTTTGCCATACAGCACACATTTAACCATATGACAATTTTCTTTGAATGAAGTCGCAGCACTACGGATCTCCGCAAACAGAGCTTGAAATGGCAGTCAGTTCTCTGTCTGAACTTCATCGACTTCGAATAGGCCTTCTACAGCGTCGATCGAGAGGTGATTTGGCAGCTGCTTTGCTACTACAAGGTGCTGCCGACAATTATACACCGAATCCAACAGCTGTACTATAATGCTGCGTGCCAAGTAATCCACAACGCGAAACTCACGGAATCCTTCTGAGTGATGATCAAAATGAAACATAGCTGGTTGGCTGCATAATATCTTTAATGATTTCTCTGGTTGAGGGGATGTACTCGATAATGCGACAGACATCGGGAAGTGGAGAGACAGGCATACAATCGACTAACATTAAAAACTTGGGGGATCTGGACATTGCCGATGATGTATGTCTGATTTCCCAGATACTAGGAGAAATGCAAATGAAAAGCAACAATTTGGCAGAAGAAGCATCCACAGAAGATGGACCCTCAGGTTCATATAAAAAAACAGAGGTGATGAGGATTCCTGGCCAACAACAGATAATAATCTGCATAAATGGGAGGAATCTGACAAAAGCAACATCCTTTATCTAGCGACATGGTAAGCATCGTTTCAACTCCAGGCTGACGGATAACAAAGTGACGATCAGGAAAGCCAGGCAAGCTTTCATTACTTTCAAGTCTGTGTGAAGGTCAGCAGCACTCAGCATGAAATATAAGATCCCGATTTTCAACTTCAATGTGAAATCTGTGCTACTATACTATTCCGACACTTTGCGCGTCATAAAGAAAAACTTAGACAAACTAGACACCTTCATTACCAGCTGTAGGCGAAACACACCTATACATCAGCTTATCCTGTTGTTAGGCAGCGTAGAATGTGCATATCGCGATTCGACTGAATAAGGTAACTTTGCATGTTCGAAAACACCTAAGTTTCTACTGTACTGGCTACAGAATATATAGACAAATCAACTACTTCACATTCCGAAATTACTCCACTATCAATGATTTCAAATTTCGCTGTTCAAGTACCAATAAACATTAAAAAATACCAGAAGGTGATTGTCAACAATGAAATCCGTACTTCAAAACACTAATGCAGAAATGTAATTGTAATGAACAAGAATGTTTATAGGTCTTTTTGCTACTAGACAATGAGGCACTGCATTCTTCAACCACTAATGTAAAAGACATGGAGCAGCCTGTCACATATAATGAATTTTTCTATTTCAATAGTCAATCCCACTGCCAAACTAAAGACATTGCTATTTGTAAAGTGAATGCTTCCTAAATCATGTGATGAATGGTCTTAGCGGTGATTCCTTTGAATTTCAATGCTTCCACGAATCGCAGCATATCAATACACACACATAAAATACAACGATTACTGTTAAAAATAGGTTTAGATGGTTGAATACTGAAACTTAGTCACAAGTTATTCCAAGAAACCTGGCCGGAGTCAAATCAATCACATTCAAAAATACCTATAATTAGTTGCACTTTATCGATTTAATTGCTTTCGATGTTTCAGTATGCTGATTGGATCCCTTATATTATCATACACTCGTATCAGGATTCATCGAACAAACAACTGTGAGAATAGGTATCATGCTTCAAATTCTGGCAGATAACTGATACATATGTGATTTATAAGGCTCTGCATAGTCTAGAAACCGCTGCTCACAAAAGCAGACTAATTGTATGCCATCACACATATCTTTATGATCAGTCGGCAATATGAGCTTGATTTTGTACAGTTAATTTAGTGGTGTGAACCAACCTTAAGTTCATCATTATCTTGCAGTTCATTTATATAGTTGACACAACATAACCATCACAGATTGCTTGATTCATTACGGACATTGGTGACAAATACGATCAAATCACTTGAAATTCACCAGTGTTCCACTTTCGCAACTATAAAACTGTTACTTAATCCACTCCATAGATTTCGATGTTGGCGATGAATAATGTCTGCAAATTTAGTCTCGTCTCAAATCCAGTGTGCCTATGTAATCCAAATAAATTAAATTCATATTTGAGAGTCTTGAAGTTGCAACTGCCTCACCATATTTAATGATCCTACAAACCACCACATATACGCAAGATGACTAATTGGGGTTGGTGACTGTATACATCTGTAGGAACAAGAGATATTCATTCCGATAAGTCTTCTTGAGATTTCCTTATATTTCGCGTCAAATCAAATTGGTATTTGTTAACACATTCTTCATAAAATCGTGACTGGTTTTCGACCGCAAATATAGGAGGAGTTCTTTGCGATATGTCAAAGGGTTTCAGAAATAATTCAGTCCCTTCCTTTTTTTACAAGTTGTGAAACTGAGATATATAATACTGATGATAATGAGGGTAGATAATTGAATAAAAATGCATGCATGACGATAAAATGTCAGGTTTGATGGTGTCCGTGAGATAGAAAACTATTCTTGTTTAAGTTTGAGTCAATTTGTGTACGAGCGAATCGACGATCGTTTTGTGAAAGTTAGGATTATTTTGAAAGATTTTGATGCCGACTGACTCACCGGTGGTTCGCAGTTCTAGGGATACGAACCTGTACCTTTGAGGCGACACTTGCTTACAATAGTGAAGACTTGAAATTTATCAAATTTTTGCTCTGTATTCATTATGTACCCAGTATGGAACTCCTCAGTGAACCATACTGTACACATAAATACTCACGAATGATGTTCTACTTGGATTTAATTTGTTTTGATTACGAACTTGATGTGATGCGGAAAGATTAACAGTCTGGACTTGTGTGGAGTGGTAAAGCACCATGTCTCACTCGAATAACCGCATACGATGCATGAATAAATGATAGACGAAAAGCAGATCTACAGTTTTTGTTTATGCTGTCGTGTTAACTAGTAGTCAGAGATAACTTAAGAAAAGAAAATATCGATAACACAGGCGCTTATATATAACTGTTACTGAATCATAAATGCTTTTTTGCAAAATACAGGATAGCAAAATTTTGTTACAGAAATTCATGGTGCTTATGTAATCATGTATTCGAGTACGTTCAGTAGATCTTGTTGAATTTCAGTTGTATAATGTTGATATTCTTTTCAAAGGATTGACACCACTGGGACAACAATTGTTCCTCACTGGTTAAAGCTTTATACATTTTGATCGTACGCACACCAAGCAAACTTCGTTATTAATTAACTAATATTGGGTTTGAAATAACAAATTGCGTCGTTAAGTGAAGTAATGCAGATAGTAAAATTAATTACAACATTTTGCCATACAGCACACATTTAACCATATGACAATTTTCTTTGAATGAAGTCGCAGCACTACGGATCTCCGCAAACAGAGCTTGAAATGGCAGTCAGTTCTCTGTCTGAACTTCATCGACTTCGAATAGGCCTTCTACAGCGTCGATCGAGAGGTGATTTGGCAGCTGCTTTGCTACTACAAGGTGCTGCCGACAATTATACACCGAATCCAACAGCTGTACTATAATGCTGCGTGCCAAGTAATCCACAACGCGAAACTCACGGAATCCTTCTGAGTGATGATCAAAATGAAACATAGCTGGTTGGCTGCATAATATCTTTAATGATTTCTCTGGTTGAGGGGATGTACTCGATAATGCGACAGACATCGGGAAGTGGAGAGACAGGCATACAACCGACTAACATTAAAAACTTGGGGGATCTGGACATTGCCGATGATGTATGTCTGATTTCCCAGATACTAGGAGAAATGCAAATGAAAAGCAACAATTTGGCAGAAGAAGCATCCACAGAAGATGGACCCTCAGGTTCATATAAAAAAACAGAGGTGATGAGGATTCCTGGCCAACAACAGATAATAATCTGCATAAATGGGAGGAATCTGAAAAAAGCAACATCCTTTATCTAGCGACATGGTAAGCATCGTTTCAACTCCAGGCTGACGGATAACAAAGTGACGATCAGGAAAGCCAGGCAAGCTTTCATTACTTTCAAGTCTGTGTGAAGGTCAGCAGCGCTCAGCATGAAATATAAGATCCCGATTTTCAACTTCAATGTGAAATCTGTGCTACTATACTATTCCGACACTTTGCGCGTCATAAAGAAAAACTCAGACAAACTAGACACCTTCATTAACAGCTATCTTCGCTCAATATTCAAGATCAGATGATCGGTCGGAAATGATCAGCAACAGGGATCAGCAGGGACCAATTGTGCAACAGATATGCAGGAATAAATGGAGGTGGATTGGCCATGCTTTGAGGAAACCATCAAGTGACATCACATGACATGCTCCCTAGTGGAAAACTGACGGGAAGCGACGAGTTGGTCGTCATTTCGAGGTTGAGATGGAGGAGGTAGTTTGGGGAGGAGACTAAAACATGTGGGCAGATATGGAGGCTGGCGAAAACGTTGGCAGAGAACCAAACGAAATGGAAACGTGCAGCTGAAGCTCTATGTTCCTCTAAGAAATAAACGAAACAGTAATGATATTATCATCTAATATTATAGCAGCAAATATGAAATTTCGGAAATTTCCCATTTCACTTTGCAGTCGTATAATGGAAGCTTCATTAAAACATGTTGTATATGAATGTGTATAATGTTTTGTCCACACCTCTTCTCAAGATCTACACACTCCATGAACTGTTTTTTGGAGTAGATAACAAGTTTTTGTCACCGTTTACATTATTATTTTAGAAAATCAATATGTATGTTGCTTCAAGGTAAATTTCATGCGTTCAAATCATTCCAACTATAGAAATCAAATAGTTGACTTATGCACAATATTCGCAATTGAAAACACTAAATTTGAAACACCAGACAAATGCGTATTCATATGTCAGTTATTGCAAATTCTATTATCTCTTTATTTCACGTGGAAGTGTCATTTTTTCACCAGCTCAAAGTTTGAACATGTGACTGAATTCATTGAGAGTGCTATTTTAAGTGCAAGTGGTTTGATGTCTGTGATAGAAATAATTCGTTTTAAACAGATTCCACTTGTTAATACACCAAATGATGAAAATGTGCATTTATCTGCACCAATACAAGAAGATGAAAGGAAAGAAAAAGTCCATTTAAAACCCTCAGTATTCAACTTTTGTCACTTTAATTAACAATTTCATATTGTTTATTTGAAAAATTATGTCTGGAATGGAGACTTCACTGTTACCTATTAAACAAGAATTGAATAATGAAAACAGGTGTTACACAATCGTATATATTCGGAGAATTTCAGATGTATTCAAACAAAGATGAGTTGTAATGAATGGATCATTCTGTTTTTAGAGTGTCGTCTTCCCTGCATTTGGATTTATACTCAACATATATATTTGAGTGATTCTTGTGGAAAAGAATATCTCTTTTCAGTCAATGTTGTGTACTGATGGGACTCGCACCTCATTAACCGCATAGCTGATTGGTATTAGTAACGTGTGACTGAATAAACTAATTTCGTTAGCTTTTCGATGTTACTCGATGGTGAAATCATAGTAATTTCATAACTGAAACGTGACTTAGTTAATTGTTGCTCTCTACTGTACACCCTTCCGTTGTAATGCACAAAGGTGAATAACAGAGACGAAACGCGATACAAAATTATATAAGTTTTAAGAAACTTAGCACCTATGTGGAGACGGGATGATCATTTATACATAAAGCCTCCTTGAATTTGGCTGACAGTTTGGGATGCTGTCGTCGCGAGATTTGAGACTTGTTGGTTTATTTATGTGCACAGTTGATACGTAGATGTTTTATTTTATCATATGCGATTCGCCAGCATCATTTACAACAATATGTGTACCGTTAATGAAGAAGAACAAACCAGAAATTTGATAGTGAATAAAAACAATAATTCGATTTCGAGTTATCAGGTAGTAGATATCACTATTTTCCGTTGAACAGTTCCTCTAAGTAAGTGAAGTATAGTGTGAGGTCCAGGATTGCGAGCACTTGTTATTCTCCTCATTAATCCGTCACAACTAATCATTTGCAGAAATTCTAAATGGAATATTTACATCGGTTGAAATAAAAGAGCAAAGGTGATGCGTTGATCATTCATCACTCTTTGAATTGAGCCACTGCTGCCATTTAAAATAACATGTCGTAGCGTTTTTAAGACTTTGTAGACAGGAAACACATCGAATGACAAGCACAGCTTCCTCTATATCAGCAGGTAAAGTGGTATGTACGCACGAATTTGATCAATCTAAGTGTTGCGCACAACTTCCATAGATTAACAAATTGCCGTGCTGTTTCTACGGATGATTCATAGTATATTGAAAAGCAATTATGAAAACTTTAGCTATCATCAACTATGCATTTAAATTCTTTTATTTTCAATGTGCAGTCACAATCTGCCGTATTTAACTGCTCATTTCTCATTGTTCGACAAAATATTTGTTGTAAGAATGTCAAAATATGTTGACTGTTTGAATAGCAAACGAAGAATGTATGGGCATAAATAATGCAATTATTAAACTTTTATCTAATTAGCTCTGTTATAATGTTCATTTGTTGCATTTTAGGTTAGTATTGAAAACCTAATTCGCTTATTTGGCGGCATGCATAAATTACTGAGCTGCCTAAAATGGCTTCCCATCAAAATCCCTAATTTCAACTGGATTACTGATTGTTTTATTCGTTCATTTATACCAAATGACCTGTACATGAACTTGAGAGCAGAGTTAACTTGCTTCTAAGTAAACGCTGTAGAATGCTTCAACGAAATGAGGTTATGCTTCGGTTTATTACTTTATATGTAAATTTCGTATGAAGTAAAAGTATTTTGGAAGTTAATAAGCTGAAACGTTTTGTACCAAATTTCCACCTAGTGTCTGAAATAAATAAATATTTTTATTATTTACGAAATACTTTTGTAGTGACCCATTTTATTACTCATCTTTGTAGTGTACTTTCACTATGTAAGTAGACTTTGATGTGTTTATCACTCTAAATTTTGCGTGTTACAATTGATACTTTTGTGACCGCTCGACTTTTGAAATTTGATTACCGCGTTAATACACGTTCGTAGTCCTTCTCAAGTGCCTTTTGAGTTACATCGTGGATGGTGAGAAATCACAACTTTAGAACACAATAATAAACGTGAAGAAGTACTAAGATATATGTATTGGCAAGTTTGATCAAAAAAAGCACCACAACACTTTCAAGAATACATCTTAACGATTTCGTAATGCATACAGTGTGTAACGCTGGCATATATATATATATTGCTTAAAAAAAGTGAATGAACATGCTGACTGCAAGAATCCTTAATATATGCTGGTTGCTACAATAATTAAATTTTGTTGTAATTGAAGCATGTAATATCATTGCACAGTCAAAAGACCAGGATATTTCATCTACTTTCAGATACTTACTATACAATGAACAAAGTCACAGGTTTGTGTATAAAGTCCGTCTTCAAAGTCTACCTCGCAGTCAACGATTTTATTAGATTCGAATAGCTTAAAATGAAGCGAATTTTCCCATTATTATCGGAGCGAATTCAATGTTAACGTCCTACTAATCTGAATAGTGGTATTTACTGATTGTTTTGGTTATATAATTGGTCCCCATATTTGTTTTTAATGTAAAGCTACATTGAGTATTTGTTAAACTTTTTATCACCGCGATAAATTGCGTGTGCTGGGATCCAGTTATCTGATGCATCGCACAACAATGAGTCGTGAATGAACAAATTAAATATCTTTCAAAAATAATTCATTCTGGGTAAGCCCTAACCAATTACTATAGTTCCAGTAGATAGCGCTGTTATGAATGATGAAAACACTGTTGCTGGGGTTCGATAACATAGTCAAATATGATGTGGTGTAATATGGGAATAACAATGTTTTGAAAACAATTCGATACAAGGAAACAATATGTAACGTATCTGATGACCCTACTACGAAACCTATTTCTAATCACGTCTAAACTCCAGAACCCATATAAATAAAGATAGAAGAAAGATTGATGTAAATTGGTGGGGACAATCGACTTGTATTCATCTGAGTTACATAATATATTAACATCATCCAGTATGGTCAATAACTGAATAATTTAACTGCTTCCATAATTTTCGATCACATTTTAATACGAAATCTACTTGGGTCCGACGATTTAAATTCGTGCAAACTGACTTTATGTTTAGGTAAATTCTTACGTACTTAACAGATACCGAATATTTGTTACTAGTCTGCCTAGATTTCAACACACAAAGCATTTATAAGGCCATATCAGAGATGACACATTGTTGTTGAGTTCTCGCTTTCAGTGTGAAAGCTAGATATCATTCCATGTGTTTGAATCGCCTTACCGCTTGCTGACATTTCATGTTTACAGAATGTATTACTGTAAACAGTTTTATTAATTCTTTACCAAATCAAAAACATGTGATCATTAAATGAGTGTCATATATCACTGATCAAAATAAATAAACGTTCACGGAACAATAACAGTCGGCTTGATGTGAAAGAGCTATGATCCTCAACTTATAATTATGGTATTTGAATTAATCCAACCAAAAAATAGTGAAACGTTCTGTGTGCCGTATACATGTATCTGTGCGAAATCCTTAACCTCAAAGTAATTACTTCATGTTGCAGTTTTGTCGGTAAACAGGTACTACAACTGTAGACACACATTCTATGAAAAGGAATAAAGTTTGTGCTTACTGGTCTGAATAAGGCATTAAGAGGATACATTTCGCGAGATGATACCATTTCGAAGTTTCTTTACATACTAATGACCAATCACATTTAAATACGCCAAGTAGTCCATGGTGGGTGAAGGTTGAAGAATAGGGTTTTTTGTACACATAGCTTAAGATGTAATCTTAAATGCTTCCATCACCAACCCTGAATTAGACTTATGTGAAATCATAAGGAAACGGTCATTATTATTGACTTTATGACCTGACATTATTAGCTGACTTGCCATAAATAATGAAATTCTATGCAAATTAGTAATTTTATTGGCATTTTCTGTGTCTGAATAACAATTTTGGAACATGTTCTTATAAGTTTCACGTGCACAGGTGTCATCGCAACTGCAGCTTGTAAATACAGTTTGAAGTAGAGTCCACAGAATTTCCTCCTTTAATTGTACGTACAGAGATCGAACATTTTCCAGATATGGGGGAAAGAGATGCGGCGTAGAATGTGCGTTCGATGGCTGACCGAAAGCTTCGAGCTGTCAACTGCATAGTTTGATCACCCTCGAATGGTAGGTTAACACAGATAGCTTTCTTTAGTACAGAAGCTGTCTTTTTGAGACATGGTCTTTCTCTACTGAGACAAGTGATAATGTTTTCTTGATAACAATTAGCTAATAAAACTTAATATATATGACGAAACTCATCCATCAATGCGTCACTTGTGCATATTTTTCGGGCGCCTGAGAACAAACATCTCTCACTAGGGAACGTTTATACTAATTCGATGACGTGTACCTTGAAATGTATCCTGAGGTATCTGCGCAATTTACAAAATGCGTTCATTTCAGTTTACTGCTAACTGTCACACAAAAGATTTGTTTTCATTTTAATAATACAAATGTTACACTTAAGCGCTTCGAATCACAATTTGGTTTGAGACAAATAGAAGTGGAGGTGTTCACACCGATCGCAAAACAAAATCTCGTCTATAATAATTAGAGCAGTTTCAAAACAAACACTAAATACTTGCCAGGAATAATTCAGAAACTTTAACGACACAAACGTCCACGTCTTCCCAAAAATCCTTCAATGTATCGTCAGCAATTCATTGTTGTACACCATTTGTGTTATTCTGGTATCAGGTGTGCTACTGACAATAATTTATAAGTAGTAAATTGGGTGTTACCATCGGCATGAATCATGAATATTGAAGTGATGGTTTAAGGTGCGAATATGAGGAATGAAGATCCCTGTGCAATAATATCGTACGCATGACGGAAAGATAACAGAATCATAATAGGAATAACTATAACAAGCTGAAAATTCAGTGCGAGTAATCCACAGTCACCGTACATCAGTTTTCTGGGTCATTTAATATAGATATTAAAAATGGATTACGCAGAAAAGATGCCTCACAGCATAACAGTATGTGAGATCTTCAATAAATTCACATTTCACCTC